TTGTTGTCACCTCTCGTAGTTTAGTGGTCAGAACATTGGTGCGTAAAGCCAAAGGTCCCGGGTTCGATTCCCGACGGGGGTGTGACAACAGCAACAATTTTTCCCTCATTAATTTGAGGTAGCGTGTAGTGGGTAAAAAATTCAGAAATGAATTTTCAGAATAATATTTCATATTAAACTAACTCACTTCTAAAAGATATCTAAATTATATGTATGTTTAATCATAGTATATTCAGTATATAGTTACATTACTTCGACGGATCGTTAACCTTGTAGGTCGGTTGGTCGTGGTTGCTGTTGTCACCTCTCGTAGTTTAGTGGTAGAACATTGGTGCGTAAAGCCAAAGGTCCCGGGTTCGATTCCCGGCGGGGGTGTGACAACAGTAACAATTATTCCCTCATTAATTTGAGGTAGTTTGTAGTGGGTAAATAAAAAATCGAAAAAATGATTTTAAATTAATATTGCACCGTTAGAGAAGTTGCTGAGAACCTAAACATACTGACTGACTCCTGTCATTCGATTTTTAACAATGATTTGGGCATGAGACGGGTCGCCGCGAAATTCATACCAAAATTGCTCAGTTTCGACCAAAAAAAGCATCGCATTAATATTGCTAAGGAATTGTTGGACTCTGTTCGCGACGATCCAAATTTGCTGCAGAGGGTCATAATTGGTGACGAATTATGGGTTTAAGCTCAATCATCTCAATGAAAGTTGCTTTACGAGCCAAGATCGAAGAAAGCACGTCAAGTTAGGTCGAATGTGAAGGTTTTGCTTATGGTTTTCTTCGATTGCAGAAGCATGGTGCGTCATAAGATCTTGCCGCAGGGTAGAACGGTCAGTCAATAATGATGCCCGTTTGCACCGACGTAAATAAGTACTACTTAGCTTTAAGTAGTTCTTAAAAGACGGAATTGGTTTGCACCGCAAGTTAAGTCGCGCTTAAGAATCGAAACAGATGCGTAACTTTAAGCACAGGATGTTCCTGACTTAAGCATTGCTTAAGCCTGTCGTAACAATTTCGGCAGTAGTTCGGCATTTTTCCCCGTAAGAAAATAACATCGTTATAGTAAAGAGGTTATTATCATGTTACTATTAAATAATAAAATAAACAATATAATAATTATTAAATTAAATTATCATTAAATGGAAGTTGGTGTGTGTTATCATTTATGTTATTGTATTGCAATGTACGGATTATTTACATTCCAAGAGTAGTAATTAGTATCTGATGATATATTAGAAATTTGAAAATGTACACAATTTAACTGGAGTAGTGATAAGAACGCCAATAGCTAATCATTAGTAATAGAAGGTGAACTAATAATATACAATAATAGTACGTTTTATCAGAAGTTTGGTTTTTATTGAAAATAAACACTTTTAGATTACACTTAAGAGTTCATTTTGGCAGTTGGCGTTAACAGTTAAACTCCTGTAGTACTGCTTTTAGTTGGAAAAGGTTTGTTTATATGAAATTCAGAAGAAAATTGACTAATATATATACAAACTAAAACACAACAAAACCTAACAAAACACAAATAATTACAAAAACAAAAACGTATAACAGCAGAAAAAGGCGGCAAACAACACTTCACGACACCAGACGTTACTTAACGGACACAATAAATTTGAAACTTCTTGACCATTCTGCACAAAAAACCCTACAAATTACTAAATTTTACCGTTGTTGCCAAACCATCAACAACTAAGCACTACTTACTTAAGTTGCAGGTAGACAGCGTACGGTGCAAACGAATTGGAAGTTAAGTAAGACTTATGCTTAAGCAGTACTTTGTTAAGTCTGCCTTAGTAAAACGTCGGTGCAAACGGGCATGAATGTTTCCTGGAAGTTACGCGCCATTTGCGCGAAGTAATCCGCCGGAAACGTTCTGATTTGTATAAGAACAAAAATTGATTCTTGTACCATGATAACGTGCACACATCGTTGTTTGTGTGAAAGTGAAAGGACGGGAGCAGAACAAGATGACAAAAACTGATTTTTTGAAGTGCTTCGTGTATTTGAAAAAACGTTGACACAAGTGTATAATATCTGGTGGGGATTACTTTGAAGGGGACAAAATAGATATTCGTGAGTAAATAAATAATTTTTGATAAAACACAATACTCGCGATACTTCTTCAACACACCTCGTATATACATCAGTTCCACAGATCTGCGATAATACGTACGGTTCGTCGTTGATGCTGTGGTTACTTCACGTAGCTTAGTGGTCAGAGCATTAGGTCCCGGGTTCAATTCCCGGCGAAGGATTGACAGCGGCAACAATTTTTCTTCATTCATTTGCAGTAACTTGTGATGAATAAATTAAGAGAGAATTTTCGCATTTATATTCAATTAAAGTTTTGAACTTTCAACACAATAAGGTTGTCCTCATTTATGTGTATAAAAATCTATAATCGATTCAACGATCAAAAGTGGTGGTGAATCCTGACCTAACGATTCCATTAATTTTTTCTCTAAAATCATTAGCGGAGTTATCACAAAAGTATAATTTTTAGGTTAGGTTTTAGGGCCAATTCTTTTACCCAAAGAGGTACAATACGAAAACTGTTAACAAGTTTACTTTAGAAAGTATGTTAGTAAAAGTTTATTTATAAAGACATCCAAATAACACTCTGTATATTAATCATTTACAACAAAATAATACGTGCCAAATAAGGGGTGAAAAGATTTTTTATTAGATTAGAGGTTTTATCAAGATATTTTTAAAAGTCGGTGATAATGGACTTACTAGCCGTACCTAAATGCACTAGACGAAGAAATATAAGTCATAAACACAGGTAATTATAAAATAATAAATAATTAAAAACTTGAATAAATGTCACCATAATTAAATATTAATTAATTTGTGTTTGTGGGTTATGTTTCTTAGTGGGGTGCATATACGCTAGTTGAAACATTGAGTATCGCCGATTTTTAAAATATCTTGATACAGTCTTCAGACTGGGGCGAAACGTTGGTTGTTTTTTAAATAAAAAATCTTTTTACTTTTTCTTTGGCACCTATTATTTTGTTGATACCACTCAGGGGAAGAATTATGGAAAAAATTAATCATTTACAGTTTAGTGCTGGAAGAATACTTACAGTAGTATAGTTTTCCATGTATCCTTCATACATTGAAAAAGGTCCTTATTTAAAATAAACTAAAAGAACCGCTATTGATCGAAATGCGAAGATAAAATACACCTTTAAATACTTACCCAACTGCCCAAAAACCCATTACATTTTCCTAAACACACGTAATGGAACATTAATTCTCGTTCTTAAAAGTATTTAAAATAGGCCATTAGACATCCATTAGAAGCTAGATATAGGCCAAAAGGATATTTAAATATCGATTTGAAGCAACACTAGGCAAATGATTGCGAACTACTGTCGCATTCCATTTCAAATTTCAAAACTTTTCCAGAAATGAGTAAAATTTGTGGACAAATAATTTCTTTCCGAACTTTACGAATATTTTGAACACAACAAAAGAAAAAACAAATGGTGTTAATAAACATCTACGAACTGCGGAAATAAAGACAAAAAAATAAAGATAAAAAAATGTCCCATTATCAACTTTTATGAAGAGAAATAATGAAGTGGTAGAGTTATTGAACAAAGATTACTGCTTTTAATGAAAAACATTATTTTTGTGCACGCGAACGATAAATTTGAAAACCCGAAAAATTTTTTTGACGAAATTGGAGTTCGGCTCTGTTCGGATATGAAACGTGGACGTTGGGCATGACGTAAAAGAAAATTTAGAAGATTGAAAATAAGGACGCATTAGAATTAGTAGGAGAACAAAGGGTATTATGGAAGTCATAGAGCAAAAGGATGAGAAATGGGATCGTAGAACACCTTTTTAGGATTACTGTTCTTTCTAAGGACATTTAATTACATAAAAAGGCATGTAGATACAGATTAGTTATGTGAATTAGAACGAGAATCAATATTTGTACTTGTTGTTAATTGTTCGAGCCTTAACAACACACTGTTATTGGTTAGACACTTTAATCAGTCGCACCTGTCTCTTGCCGATAGTTTAAAGTTAATAATCAAATTTATATTTCAATATGTTTATTTTACTCCGAAAGTTGTACAATTCTAGCGTAAAGTAAAACAACCAAAATTTCAAGAGTGCATGAAAAATATAACATCAGTTACGACTCAGCACCTGCCCAGTCACTATTGGAACGCTTTTAACCTTTTCTTTTCCGCCGCGCCCACTGTTATTTTTCGCATCCGTACATCGCCGCGCTCCAAACATACTCCTTTAATAACCTTTTTCTAATTTATAAATTAATCGTTTGCGAATATAGAAGTGACTTCTTTTTATTGAAGGCGACTCGACCTTGCACTATCCTCTGTTTTATATCCCTACTACTCCTTCTTTCCTAACTTATCTGACTTCCTAGATACCTAAGATCGAGCGCTTTTTCTAATTTTTCGTCTCCTATCTTTATATTCGCTCTTTCCCTACTATTTCTTATGCTTGCATACTAGTATTTTTGATTTACTTTTATTTATTTTCATACAGTACTGTTTTGTCAGTACCATCCATTTTATTTAAAATTATCTTTAAATCTTTAACTCCTCCTTGGTATATGCATAATGTTGATCGTGTCTTCTCGCACTTAAATTACAGGTTAAAATTTAACTCTCAACGCACTAAAAGAAGTCTAGCAGCAGAAAAATCATAAATTCTTAAAGATTCTGAGCAAAACATTTAATATTGTTTGATGCTTGGTGGAACTCGAGTAGACATTCGTGATTGATGACCTCGATTTCTATGTACATTTCCATAATTCATGCTAAACATTATATGTTGTTAGGGCTCGAAAATGGCCTTGATGTGTGTTCAGAAAATGTAATGGACGGTTTTGTCGTTTGATATGAATTCTGTGTATAAGCCCTCATGCCTCATGTACGTTAGAGGAGACATAATGGATACTCACTTCTTGCAATTGTTCCTGGGCCTGTTGCAATTGTAGTTCTTTGGCATTAAGTTGAGCAGCAAGCGATAGACTTCGTTCGGCTTCATCCCTAGCGTGCCTGAGCAGGCTCCACCTCTCCCTTTCCCTCTCCTCCCGTTCCGTTGAGAGCTGCTGCAGGGAGGTCTCGTTCTCCCGCACCCTCTAACAATATTTACGCTTACGTTTAACGCCGAACAAACCTTGTTTACAATGTAAACATCTGAACAAACATGACTTCGCGACATTCTTTCTATCATCCTCATAATCATAATCATCCTCAACAGTATTATGATCAATATCTCAACAACCTCTTCGTTTTTTTCCTCTGTTTACTTTGTTGATAGAAACGTGTTTTTACCTGTTCGTAGTTTCTGATAAAGTCCCGTAGCTCCTTCTCCTTGTCCTCGAGTGTTGCGTACAGCTGCTTCATTTGGTCCAACAAATCGAACTTTTCAGCTTTTAGACGTTTGCGATCTTGCTTAAGAGCTGAAACAAACAACACGAATTCGTTATCGGGAAACTGGGTTAAGTTACGGAAGAGCAAACAGAAGGAAATCGGGAAAAGTATAAAACATAAAAAATGCTGTCGGAGAAACCTAGAATTTATTTTAACAGAAAAGAGCCAGGGCGCGTTTGCTAATGCCTATTAGATATACTAGCGCCCACAATGAAAGAAAATTAGTATAAATTTAAGGTATTCATTAGAAATTAATATACAGGGTGTTTCACAGTGACCACCCATTAGAAAATTTCGGAAACTACGATTTAAATTTTGAAAATTTGTACAGTAAAGATATTGGGTATGCTCTCCGAACAAAAACTAGATGATGACTAAAGTTAACCATAGTACCATTCGAAAGAGAATAGCATTCTGCATTTTTCAATTTAAGAAAATGGTCTTACGATTATTTGAACAAATTCGCCATTAAATATCTAACACCCTGTATGTTATTGAAAAGTGTTTCGGACATTTAATGTCCAGTTTAGGCTTTACGGTTTGACCTGTATAATTTGTTACAGATTCGCCAAAGTTTCAGTACTTTTGTTTGGGGTTTTGATTTTTCATTATATGAATTTTATTTTTTTTTTGTTTCCGCGACAGCTGTTTCGCCTTTGGACGTCTTCCGACCAGTGCTGGTTGTGTCAAAAAAAAATTCTGCATGCTTCATTCCCACTAGCTATTAATGCTGATAGCAGGGCAGTTGTTTCGACTTGCACCCAGATTAAAAGCTTTTTAGAAATATTGGGAATGAGTGGTTGATCGTTGCAGAGAGGAAGAGGAGACAGACGAAAAGAAGAAAAAGTGAAAGATTATCGTGTAATATCACCGCCCATCATTTGTCCAAATTAACCAAGAAAGCCAGAGAAATTGGTCCAAGTTTTTCTCTGCCAGACCGACCCGGAAAAGACAATATTTGTCGTATATTCACTAGAATATTGTTTTGAAATCAATGTTATTTTTTTCTAAGAATTTCGACGCGGGAGGTCATTCTAGCTTTACGGGTAACAATCGAGAAAACAATAGAAAAAAGAAAGAGTGCGTACATAGAATTTGTAGATTTAGAAAAAGCTTATGACAATGTTAATTGGGTCAAGATGTTAAATATTCTTAAAAATGTAGGGATGACTTACAGAGATAGAAGAGTGATACTTAGTTTGTATAAAGAGCAACAGGCAGTTATAGAGCTGGAGCTGCAACGTAGAGAAGTAAATATTAGGAAGGAAGTCAGACAGGGATGCACACTGTCACCACAGTTTTTTAATCTATACTTAGAAGATGCGATCAATATCATGAAAGATAGTACAACACCAGGGATAGATATACAGGGGCAAAAGATTAGTGTACTTATATTTAAGGATGATATAGCGGTATTAGCATCTAGCAAGGTAGAGTTAGAGATAGCCTTAAATATAACGGAAACAGTATTGACAAAACAATATTTTATGAAAATGAATAAAATTAAAACAAAAATACTGGTATGAAAGGGAGGAAAAAGTAGTGAAAGAGTGAATATAAAGATAGGTGACAAAAAATTAGAAGAAGTTGCTGATTTTAGGCATCTAGGAAGTCAGATAAGTCAGGACGGAAGGAGTAGTAGGGATATAAAGCAGAAGATAGCGCAGGGTCGAGCCGCCTTCAATAAAAAGAAGTCAGTTCTATGCTCGCGAACGATTAATTTAAAAATTCGAAAACGATTGTTGAAGGTGTATGTTTGAACAGAGGACTCAATGAAAGTTAATGAAAAATAGGCGATGTGAATTGGTAGGACAACTTCTCAGTATGGAGGTCTAGTCAGAGATATATTCGAGTTAAGAAGAGTAGAACTAGCCCTAGATTAGATTACTGTTCGCAAATAGTTAAGGGTGCGGGCTGTTCTAGTTTTAGGGTGAAGATTAGCTCAGAATCAGTGGAGGTGCGTGTCCAATCAGTCTTAAGATAGACGACTTTATGATGATGATGATGATTTTTAAATATATAATTACATAAATAATGTATTTTTGGATGAGGCTATTAATCGGTACCGTACAAGTGATTAAAAAGCTACTGTACCGGTAGTTAAAGCTATACACCGGTACCTAAACGTATAAAATATAGTTGGCTAGTGCTTCAAGTTATCAATAGAACACCTTCTTACACAGTTTATGAGACTGTAGTACATTCAGACTTTGAAAATTGTTTAAAGTGGGGTGCACTTAAACGATTTTTGAACTTAATATTTCAACAGTATTGAGCCATAATGAACAGGGGTGTTTATTCAAAATTCAAAAGTTCTGTTTCACTGAAAATTGAGAAGGTGTTTATACAACAGATATAGCTGAACACCAAATTTTTAAATAAAATCCCGGGGGGGGGGGACGGTTGTTTATACGACGAGAGTATTTACACGTCGAAATATACGGTAATAAATCTACTTGCTTTAACTATTATTTAAATTTTTAATTTAATTGTTATATAATTTCATTATTTCAAATAAATGGAACATGAATTTGATCTTCTAATTGAAAATCAAGTTACAGTCTCGATAAAGCATTCTTTCTTGCTGGGTACTAGTGAACGGTACAACACCGATGAATAGCTCCTTAGTCACCGGTACGGTTCCGGTGATTAGACATCGGTTTTTTACTACATAAATTTTTTTTAGTAAAACTATGATAAATCTCGCGGGTCCCCCCCTCTGGAAGAGACTTGGCCATCCTTGATCTAAACCCTAGGTTCACTAGACTACGCTGGACCATTTTCTTAATTTGTATGTTAATAATATTATTTTTTGTTTTTTGTTCGGAATATGTTTCCATGCTTTCTTGTATTTTTAATTGCTAGATATTTTAATTTTATTAAAAAATATAAAAATTCGAAATTGCTCATAAAAAAAATGAATGTGAAATTTCACATGAAAACAATTCATTTCGAATTTTGGTTTTAGTGGTTTATACTGTACAGTTTCATAAAACTTCCGATATTTTTGCATTTTTATTATTCATTAATTTTCCTGTGAAGTCTTTCAAAATGACCTTAAACTTCTGGGTTTTTAATTGGCTTGCATAAAACAATACCGGAGGGATGGGCATTGACTAACTGATGATAAACTCAAAAGCTAACTACTTCATTTCTTTGTTAAATTGAAAAAGAACGGTAAAGGAATTCCTTAACTAATGTCTCTTTATCAGCAGAAGTTTTAATGAAAGTTCATATTTTACAAAGTCCTTTAGAAGCTCGCATTTTAGTATGCAGAATCACACGACAAAGGGAGTAGGTATGCATTGACGTCCTTCCTTTGCTTTCAAGTACAAAATGCAAAAAACGTTGCTTGCATTAATCAGGGTCTCGGTTTAAATATTAATCTTTTATTGAGATTTATCTAGTGGCCTGTATTTACGTTGTCCCTGCTCTTAGCGTGATACATTAAAACTGTAGGTACATTATGCAGCAAGTGAGCTTAATTACTCTTTAAGAGACTGAATAGTACATTACGTATCGAGGGAAGAAACAGGGTTATTTCAGACTGCATCTGAACCCTATTTCTTCCCGAGGTACGTATACTATTTTTTGTCATGTTTGTGCGGAAAGCTCGTTATTAAATTGATAGTTGGCGAAATAAGAGTAAATGATTTAGAGGTTAGAAGGACACTGTCATTGAACAACTAATTTCTGCGCATGCCCATAAACTTCAGCGCATGCGCTCAAAAGACTAATTTCATTGCCTCCCGACTAAAACACGGCTGAAAAGAGGCCATTTCTTCCCTATTTCATAGCACGCAAAACGAGCTTTCCGCGCTAACATGACAAAAAGTACCTACATTTTTGGTAGATGTTGTAGTACGCAGGCAGGTGACAATTACTGAGAAATAGAAATGCTTTGAAAATGCTTTGGAAATACAAAATGCTAGGCTCTGTAAAATTACGAAATTTCGCAGTGCTGCCAATTTTCTCTTTTGACGAATATGCTAAATTACGATATAAAAAAGACAACACCAACGTAGTGATTGTTGTCGCGATCGTGTATTATATCGACAGCATTGTAATATTTGAAGCTAACTTCAAGGAGGGTGTCATAAACTACACTTACAATTAAACAGAAGTTAGTAAAAAGTAGCATTTAAGTAACAAGGAAAAAACTTTTTTTGATATTCAAAGTATCTTTTAGTAGTACCGTAAAACTTTTTAATTTGTCCCATTGAAGCGCAAAACTCTTTTTCGTTTTAATTATATAATTAGACACAATGAGGGCAGCCTAAACTAATTATAACCTAACTTTAAAGGAGTACATAACCTTAAAAAGAAAAAAGAAGTCATGCACCTTTTGAAGGTTAGAGTATGGTTAGTTTAGGTTGTCCTAGTTTAAAAATTAATAAAAATCTTATTCTTATTTCTTATTGTATAATTAAATCGAAAAACAGTTTCCATTGGGCAAGTTAAAAAGTATAAGGAAATGATAGGTTCTTTGATGATTAAAAAACTTTTTAATTAAAATTTTTTCAGGTAAGCTTAATCTACAAAACGGTTAATGCATAATCAAGTACTAACCAATTATAGCTTCTTTTGCAAGAAATAATTCAGCTTCTAAAGATTTCACTGCTGGCGGTACGTCTCCTGTATCTTCAGAAAATTTCCTTTCATTCAATACGGTGGATGCGCCGGAAACAACCAATCTCCTCAGTCGCGTCACTTCGGCTTGTAATCTTTCGTTTTCCATTCGAAGTCTTCTGATAGCAACTGAAGACATTTCGAAGGGAGAAGTGGCCAACATTGCAGGGAAGACGTCCCGATCTCGAACACTGTCCGCACTACGTGGTGAACGAGGCGAAGTCGAATCGCCACCTGAAAGGATAAAGGAAATACTTTCATAGTTTTAGGCGAATCATCAGACTACCGTTATAGTTCATGAACCAGTGAGTCTAATGGAAGCAAGTAAAACACTGTTATTAAACAAATTATACTAAAAGTTTGAGAACAGCCCTAAAAAGGTAGCATAAACTAATAAGAAAAGTAACTGTCTCTAATAGGCAGGGTAAAAGTGATATAATTTGAAATATGACCTTGCACCGTCTTTTTGAGAGCTTAAAATATATGGTTTTATTGTTGTCATCAATCAGACGGGACTGGAATCTTGACGAAGCTCTTGTACAAACCAGGTGCACATTTCAATGATTCAGGGAGTCAGACCTTCAACCGTAATGGGGAAGATTGTTAATAAGAAACCATACTAAGGCAAGTCCCTGAAAGAAAGAGGGCAGCGGCCCTTTCAGTATTCAGAGCGGCAGAGATCACGAGAATCGATGGCACTCTGATGTGGAAGACAAAGAGAAACCACCACATACCCAGAGTAAAACGTACTAAAACTTAAATGATGACGTCCGTTGAGGTAAAGCACTCCGGACATAACATAGTCCCCCATTCGGATGTCTTCGCAAGGTGTCATAAAGAAATGCAAAAGGGGAAGATGCTATATTTTACGAGTCGATGGGTGAAATATTAGAACCATGAGGCAAAAAAAGTAGGGAAAGAGTCAATATAATGATTGGAAACGAAAAATTAGAAGTGACCTATTTTAGGTATCTAGAAAGTCAGATAAGTCAGGACGGAAGGAGTAGTAGGGATATAAAGCAGAGGATAGCGCAGGGTCGAGTCGCCTTCAATAAAAAGAAGTCACATTAATTTAGACATTCGAAAAAGGTTGTTAAAGGTGTATATTTGGAGCACGGTGTTGCCTTCCGCCCTACCTTCCGGCGTAGTCCGGAGGGACTGCCCGCCCACCAGCATTACTGGCTGGTGGGAATGAAACACCCAAGAGTTTTTTTCTAGTTTTAAGGAAATGCGAAGATTAGCTCAGGATAGGAAAAAGTGGAGGTGCGTGTTAAACCAGTTTTAGGACTGACGACCATATGATGATGAAGATGAGGCAAGCAGGGTACTTAGAAAATTTAAAAGTTTTGAGATGCATATGCTAGAATTAGATATAGTAAGCTTTAGGGAAGTTTGTTGGCCAGAAGCTGGAGACTTCTGGAGTGGAGACTTTAAAATAATATCTACACAAGGGATCGATGGATGATAATTCAGGGGTAGGAATTGTGTTAATGCTCAACAAAGCAGTACAATGCTATTTACAGAAAAGCGATAGGATCGATAGAATGACGAAGACGTGACAACGGTACATGCGATATAGAAGGGGTGTTTAGTGAGGGGGCAGGAAAATCTAATAGTTTTAAGAGACTTCAACGCAGTAAGAGGTGTAATAACAGCTTCTTTTGGATTATGTAACAGAAATGGTAGGGGAGATTACAGTACCAGTCACTTCTACTTAAATACTTATATTTCCTATATAATAGAACTTCCTTAAATCAATGTTTAATTGAGAAATATTACACAATTAAATAGATTTTAGCATAAAGAAGGTCCTGGATACTTGATAGAGCTCAATTTATAGTTCGTTTACTTTCTGTAGCGATGTGATCTTCAGTTTGACCGGTGCAAAGTAGAAAAGAACAGCTCCAGGCCAGAAAAGGAAGGAGACAACTCTCAGCCAAACTCTTAACCGGTGAGGAGCGTATAATCCGTACAGTACTGCGCGGAAAAATTGACCATTTTATCCACTACAATGGCATTGCTCAAATGTGTTGTTATTGGTACCATTTACTACTGAAAATATCAACGAGATGTTTATTTATATTTGAAGATATATTAAAGGCTTGAACGCTTGTTTTAGACTCGCACTACTATTCATAATTGAACAAAACTTTTGACAAGTACCTACTGTAGGACAAAGTATGTTTAATGAACAAGAGTAGAGAGTATAATGAGGTTTTTTCTCTTTACCTACCATTTTGCCAACGCGCATGCAAGACATTGGAAGGGGCACATCGCTAGAGAAAGTAAATGAAGTATAGTTAAGTTTATCCATGGTTCATGTTAAATATCTACTTAAGTACAGCTTCAGTGCCTATGGGAAAGAAATATAAAATATAACCGAACTACTATTTACTGCGATAGCAGAGTATTGATGTGATGCCATCATGACGTTCTCTGTGTTTCATTGTATCGGATAGCCTTTGTCAATTTCCATACTCTCCTTTTTGGCAGCAAATGGCTTCTCTGAAACAATGGCATCCACTCGCGCTTAACAGCACTTTTCGGAAATTGTTTTGAAAGCATTGACTGATGAGTGTTTTTCACTTTCAAGGGTGATATTGGTTCTGTTCTACTCGTTTAATGAAGTACCTATGAACCTTTTTTGTACCACACGTAGCCTTTAATCGTTTTTGTCGCTTACTTAATTAATTCATCGAGAACAACCTACTTTGTTAGTCGAATTCGTTCCATTACCGATGTTAGTAAATGAAGTGATAGTTTAAAGATAAGTTGTATTATTTAGTTGTTCTCGATTACAGCGAAACTGGAAACCAAAACAATAACAGAGTTCCTAAAGAGAGCAGTTGAAAATTAGAAAGGAGGAAAGGTATTTGTTTTGGCCTAATCTGATTATTGGTTGTTCGTTTAAGTTTTTTGTTACTTGTTGATTCCCTAAAAGTTATAAAAGGTTGTCAAAAATTAACAAAGATGTAGCTACTGAACGGTAACGTCACAATAATCATGGAAATATACTTCATTTACTTTCTCTAGCGATGTGCCCCTTCCAATGTTTTGGATGGGCGCTGGCAAAATCGTAGGTAGGGAGAAAAAAGCTCATTATACTCTCGATTATTGTTCATTAAACATACTTTTTCATAGAGTACCTGCCAAAAGTTTTGTTTAATCACGAATAGTAGTGCGAGTCGAAAACAAGCGTTAAAGCCTTTAATATGTCTTCAAATATAAATAAACATCTCGTTGATATTTTCAGTAGTAATTGGTACCAATAACAGCACATTTGAGCAATGCAATTGTAATGGATAAAATGGTCAATTTTTCCGTGCAGTACTGTACGGATTATACGTGCCTCACCGGTTAAGAGTTTGGCCGAGAGTTGTCTCCTTCTTTTTCTGGCCTAGTGCTGTTCGTTTCTACTTTGCGCCGGTCAAACTGAAGGTCACATCGCTACACAAAGTAAACGAAGTATAAATAAGATGAAGGGCTAGTTGGAGAGATATTATGAAGAGAAACAAACTGTGGTAGGAAGGAGAAGAGTAACAAGATATGGAGAAAAACTAGAACGACCGCAGGAAGAATATATAAGAATGGAGATATGGAGAAAAAAGGTATTGAGAATTGGTATGAAAAACAAATATGATAAGGAGATATACAAAGCCCTAAGAGATTTAATGATAAGTTAGGAGCAACTAGAAGAAGAATGGAGAAGAGAGAGAATGGCTACAGGGAATTTGGTAAAGAATAGGAGCTACGAAATAACCAGAGAGGGAGAAGGAGTATGCGAAAAAGGTTGATAGAATTCCTGTGAGATGAGTCGCAAGGTGATTTATTACAAGAAGGAAAGGATATAGCGTTAATAGCGAGTTTTAGAATGGGGACAAAATATAATGAAATTAAGTACTAGATGAATGTAGAGGATAGAAAACAAAATATGTGAAAAAGAGAAGGAGACGTTAAGATGTGTTTTAGAATAGAGTGTAAAAGGTAATGCAAGGAAAGGGTGTAGAAAATTGGTAAATAAGAATAGCAGGGAGCTGATAATATTAAAAGAAAATTTAAACAAAAGAAAAAGAGAAAGGGAGGGTAGATAAGAATAGTTAAGAAAAAAGTTTACAAGTACGAGAGAGAAAAAAATTGTTACCTTGTTTATTGCTATAGATGTAGCATGAAGGATATATACGAGGGTGAGTTTTTAAGTTCGCGGAATGTATAGGTAGGTCATTAGTGAGAGTGCTTATTCGAGTCATTACCAAACAACTCAATACCAAGTTTTATCGTAATTAGGTCAATAGTCTTTGAACTATCGTCGACGAAACAAGTCAATTGTGAAATATGGAGAAAATCGAGTACAGCGCTGTTATAAAGTTCCTTATGAAGCAAGGAAAATCAGTTCAAACCATACTGTAAGAGATGTCATCCGTTTACGGGGACTCTTCCCAGATAAAAACATGGTTTACCAGTGGTATACCCTCTTAAAGCAAGGCAGGGATTCGTATGAAGAGCACCCACGACCAGGCCGGCTGATCGATGTGACCACTCCAGAAATCATTAAAAAAGTCCCGACTTAAGAAGAAACAGCTAGCAGAAATGGTAGGAGTATCAGATACAACCTTTTTTAAAATTCTTCATGATCATCTTGGAATGATTTAAGTCAGTGCAAGATGGGTACCGAGAATGCTCATTCCGCCTTGAAAACAACAGCACGTTTTTTGACCTCTATAGTGAAGTATTGACTTGAATTATTACTGGAGACGAAACTTGGGTTCATCATTATGAACCTGAGTCTAAACAGGACTCTATGTGCACAAAAAAGACACACCACTACTCAGTAAGTTTATGGTGTCACCGCAGTCGGCTGGGAAAATCATGGCGACTGTCTTTTGGGACTAAGAAGGGGTCTTGTTGATCGATTATAAAGATGAAAGTGTCTCCATGACCGGAGAACACTATGCTTCAATCCTAGAGAGGTTAAAGGAAGCATTCAAAGAAAAAAGAAGAGGAAAATTGATCAAAGGTGTCCTCCTTCTGCGCGACAACGCGCCTGTTCACAAGAGCCATGTTGCGATGGCTGCCCTGGAGAAGTTGGGTTTCGAAATTTTGGTTCAGCCACCCTACAGTTCTAACCTAGCTCCCAGAAATTGTTACCTATTCCCAAACTTGAGAAAAAGTCTTCATGGGAAGAAATATTCAAGCGACGAAGAAGTGAAGAATGCAGAGTATTTTTCAGACAAAGA